TCTACACTGCTGAAACCCCTGTACACTACCCTACAGAAGTTACCCTGACCAGTGCACATGTCTATTTTGATTCCCCCTTCCACTTTCAACAATCTACAGGATCTGTAGATGCCCTATAAACTGCTATCCTATGCTCTGCCTGCTGAGCCCAGTATACAACCCTAAGACCTCACTCCTTGCCTGTCATTTTTTACGTGCCCCCCACATCAGAGACAGGCAAAACCGGCCAAATCCAAGCAGATGGGACCAATACCTCTAGGCTGTGAGGATGGATCACCTGTTAAGATAGCAGGATAGAACTCTCTAAGAACCTATTGGTCACCAGGACACTTCCCTAATTGGCTTTTGGGATGATGATCTAGCCTTACAACAGAGCCACAAGAGGCAAAGGGGTGACACACCCAAATATTAATCTAGATTTAGTTTTATTATGAATCATGTACATTGAAGGATGATAATTGATAGTTTAAAACAAGAGACTATTCAAAAATTCGATTCGACTGATTCGGCGAATTCGTGGACAATATTCGATTCGAGTCGAATATATTCGCTGTGAATTTAACTTAAAAAAGGGTGTTTCTAGGCTTCAGAGAGACTTAATATTAGTGCAGAACACTGTACCTTTAATTTAAATGCCCTTGGAGTCTGCTGGGGAAGAGAAATAATACTGTCAGTCAGTATGACATGCAGATGAGTGCCGTCGATCTTAGAATCACCGCACACTTCACTCATTTGGCCAGTCACTGGGCCAAAACCAGTGTTTGGAGCCACAGTGTGTGGCGGTGGAGGCAGCAGCAATGGGAGGCCATACAGCAACCTATGACAAAATGGAAACCAGCAGGAGTGTGAGGAGACCTCAAAGTGGCAAATGGCAGAGTGGGAGCAATGGGAGGCGGTACGGGACCCATGTACACTGTGGACCTTGAGCAGCAGCGTGACCAGGCGGTACGGGGGCCCATGCAGATTTGGGGCCTGGCAGCACTATGGGAGGCCTGTAATCTGCAGCAACCTATGACAAAATGGAAAACAGCAGGAGTGTGAGGAGACCTCAAAGTGGCACATGGCAGAGATGGGAGCAATGGGAGGCGGGGTACAGGGACCCATGTCACACTGTGGACCCAGCAGCAGCGTGACCAGGCGGTGGAGGCCCCATGGCAGATTACAGGCCTGCAGCAGCAATGGGGAGGCCCGTAATCTGTCAGCAGCCTATGACAAAAAAATGGAACACACCAGCAGTGTGTGAGGAGACCTGAAAGTGGCATGCATGGCAGAGTGTGGCGATGGAGACAGCAGCAATGGGAGGCCGTACAGGGACCCATGAGAGACTCTGGGACCTGGCAGCAGCATGAGGAGGCGGTTATAGGGGCCCATGGCAGATTAGGGGCCTGGCAGCAGCAGATGGGAGGCCCGTAATCTGCCAGCACCCTATGACAAAAAAATTCAACACACCAGCAGTGTGTGAGGAGACCTGAAAGTGGCACATGGCAGAGTGTGGCGATGGAGACAGCAGCAATGGGAGGCCGTACAGGGACCCATGACGCGACTCTGGACCTGGCAAGCAGCATGAGGAGGCGGTGTATATAGGGGCCCATGGCAGATTAGGGGCCTGGCAGCAGCTATGGGAGGCCCGTAATCTGCCAGCACCCTATGTCAAAAAAATTCAACACACCCAGCAGTGTGAGGAGACCTGAAAGTGGCACATGGCAGAGTGTGGCGATGGAGACAGCAGCAATGGGAGGCCGTACAGGGACCATGACAGACTCTGGACCTGGCAGCAGCATGAGGAGGCGGGTATAGGGGCCCATGGCAGATTAGGGGCATGGCAGCAGCTATGGGAGGCCCGTAATCTGCCAGCACCCTATGTCAAAAAAAAATTCAAACACACCAGCAGTGTGAGGAGACCTGAAAGTGGCACATGGCAGAGGTGGGGCGATGGATTCAGGCGGGGATTTAGTCAGTTGTGTCAGGAACTGGTGGTTTGAAATCCAGACTAATCCACGCCTGAGGATTCATTTTCACAAACGTGAGTCTCTCCACTTTTTGAGGTGGACAGTCGTGTCCTCCGCGGAGTTACAATACCTCCTGCCGCACTAAACACGAGGCTCCTGATGCCACGCTATGGCCGGGCATGACAGCCTTTCAAGCAAATTCAGCTAGTTGGGGCCAAAGGTCAAGTTTCGTTGCCAGTAGTCAAGGGGATTGTCTACCTCGGTTGGCAGGGTGCTGTCCAAGTAGGCCTAAGCCTGTTGTTTGAGCACCCATGCTCCAGGTCCACCTGATGCTGTGCTGCTGCGGCTGATGTAGTAGTTTCCTCACTGCTGCTGGTGAAGAAGACTACTCATCAATCGACTGCAGGACTGAGGCAGCCGTGTGCTGGTGGAGCTGCCACTGCTCCTACCACCCCTGACCCCTCCCCTGCTGCCATGGCAGCGGAACGCGAGCGCACAGGGGCCCACAGTGTCTGAGGATGGACTTGGCGCAGAAAGGCAGAGAGACCAGCTGACTACATAGGTGGTTTTTATAGTACGTTATTTTGGCCTCCCTCTCAGCAGGTGTGAAAAAGGCCACCATTTTTGAACACGTTAGCGAGGGGTCCAACAGGTGGACAGCCAAAAGTCATCCCTCTGTCTGATGGTTTATTCTTCGGCTGTCGCTACGCAAGCAAAACCGAGCATGCTATGGGCCATTTGTGCCAAGGAATGCGAGGGACTCCCTGCCTCCATCTCCACAGCATACTGCCACGGTGCGTCTGGGTCCTCTGTCTCCTCCTCCTCCTCCTCTACCAGATGCTCCTGCTCCTCCACTCCTGTCCGCTGAGTGGAAAAACCACCATTTCACTCAATAATTCCTGAGCACCAATGTCCTCCTCTACCTCCTCTCCTCTTCTTCCTGTCCTGCCCCACAGGGGTCATGTGGCGTTGAGATCTGTGCGCCACGTCTACCGCACCCCTGACCAGCCATTGTTAACAGCATTTGTTCCAGGACGTGCAACAGAGGAATGACGTCGTCGTTCATCCCATAGTCCTGCCGACTCACGAATAGCGTGGCCTCCTCAAAGGGCCTGAGCAAGCGGCAGGTGTCACGCATGAGCTGCCAATGGCTGACATCGAAGTTACACAGGGGAGTACCTTTATCCGCTTGTAACATCAGGAAATCGGTGATGGCTTTCGCTGTTCGTAAAGGCGGTCTAACATGTGTAGGGTTGAATTCCACCTTGTTGCAAACGTCGCAGATCAGGCGATGCTGTGTGCAATTCCGTTCTGCCGCTGCAGCTCAAGGAGGGTGTGCTTTGCGGTGTAGGAATGGCTGAAATGCATGCAAAGTTTACGTGACATTTTAAGGATGTCTTGCAGTGGGATGGTGGATTTTAGGAACCGCTTGACAACCAGATTGAACACGTGAGCCAGCATGGCGCATGGCACAACCTTACTTGACGCAGAGCAGACACCATGTTCTTTCCGTTGTCGGTCAAACATGGTTCCGATTTTCAGTTTGCGCGGAGGAGACAGCCATCTGTCGATTTCTCTGTTCATTACACTGAGAAGTTCCTCCCTGTGTGACTACGTTCGCCTGGACCTGGCAGCAGCATGAGGAGGCGGTATAGGGGGCCCATGGCAGATTAGGGGCCTGGCAGCAGCTATGGGAGGCCCGTAATCTGCCAGCACCCTATGTCAAAAAATTCAACACACCAGCAGTGTGTGAGGAGACCTGAAAGTGGCACATGGCAGAGTGTGGCGATGGAGACAGCAGCAATGGGAGGCCGTACAGGGACCCATGAGAGACTCTGGACCTGGCAGCAGCATGAGGAGGCGGTATATAGGGGCCCCATGGCAGATTAGGGGCCTGGCAGCAGCTATGGGAGGCCCGTAATCTGCCAGCACCCTATGTCAAAAAATTCAACACACACCAGCAGTGTGTGAGGAGACCTGAAAGTGGCACATGGCAGAGTGTGGCGATGGAGACAGCAGCAGCAATGGGAGGCCGTACAGGCCAGGGCATGAGAGACTCTGGACTCTGGTGCAGCAGCATGAGGAGGCGGTATATAGGGGGCACATGGCAGATTAGGGGCCTGGCAGCAGCTATAGGGGAGGCCCGTAATCTGCCAGCACCCTATGTCAAAAAATTCAACACACCAGCAGTGTGTGAGGAGACCTGAAAGTGGCACATGGCAGAGTGTGGCGATGGAGACGTAGCAGCAATGGGAGGCCGTACAGGGACCCATGAACAGACTCTGGACTTGGCAGCAGCATGAGGAGGCGGTATGTGGGGGGGCCTCATGGCAGATTAGGGGCCTGGCAGCAGCTATGGGAGGCCCGTAATTCTGCCAGCACCCTATGTCAAAAAATTCAACACACCAGCAGTGTGTGTGGAGACCTGAAAGTGGCACATGGCAGAGTGTGTGGCTGGAGACTAGCAGTAAATGGGAGGCTGTGTACAGGGGTTGGGTTCCTATGAGAGACTCTGGACCTGGCAGCAGCATGAGGAGGCGGTATATAGGGGCCCATGGCAGATTAGGGCCTGGCAGCAGCTATGGGAGGCCCGTAATCTGCCAGCACCCTATGTCAAAAAATTCAACACACCAGCAGTGTGTGAGGAGACCTGAAAGTGGCACATGGCAGAGTGTGGCGATGGAGACAACAGCAATGGAGGCTACAGCTCCCATGAGAGCTGGACTGTCAGCAGATGAGGCGGCGGCAATAGGGGCCCATGAGAACTTACGGGCTGGGCCAGCTCAGTGGGAGGCTGTAATCTGCCAGCACCCTATGTCAAAAAAGGGGTCTCCGCCTCAGCAATTCTGAGTCTGTCCCTGAGTTAAACACATGCTGTGGCCCGATGGAGACACAGCAATGTGACTCCGTAACAGGTGACCCTCATGACAGACTCTGGACCTGGCCACAATTCTGTGTCTGAGGAGGCAGTAACAATTCTGGGCCCATGGCAGATGAAGTAGGTTCCTGTGGCCCAGCTATGGGAGGCCCGTAAATCTGCCAGCCCCTGTGTCAAAAAAATTCAACACCTCCAGTAACACTTGCAGTGGTCCTGAACTCCCTCTGGAGACTGAATCTGTCAGCTCAATTCTGTGTCCTCACTGAGTGACAATTCTGTGGCCCTCAGTAACAATTCTGTGTCTGTCAGTGACCACGTCTGTTGTATGTCCCATGGCAGTAACAATTCTGTGGCAGCTGAGTAACAATTCTGTGTCCCTGAGTAACGTTTCTGTGGCCCTAAGTAAAAAATTCTGTGGCCCTCAGTAACAATTCTGTGTCCCTGAGTTAACAATTCTGTGTCCACTGAGTAACAATTCTGTGGTCCCTGAGTAACAATTCTGATGATGCGGAGTAAACAATTCTGTGGCCCTGAGTAACAATTCTGTGTCCCTCAGTAACATCTGTTGGCTGTGTCCCCTCACTGAGTAACAATTCTGGTCTGTCATGGGTAACAGTTCTGTGGCCCTCAGTAACAATTACTGTGTCCACTCTTCCTGTGCCAACAACATTCTTGTCCCTGGTAACTGTGGGCTGAGTAACAATTCTGTGTGTCCCTGAGTAACAATTCTGTGTCTCTTCCTCACTGTAACATTCTGGGTAACACTGAGCCCTGAGTAACGAATTCTGTGGCCCTCAGTAACAATTCTGTGTGGTCGTCCCTGCTCGCTCCTAACAGTTGCTGTGTCCCTGAGTAACACTCCTCTGCCCTAAGTTGTTCTGTGGCCCTCAGTAACAATTCTGTGTCCCTGAGTAACAATTCTGTGTCCCTGAGTAACAATTCTGTGGCCCTCAGTAACAATTCTGTGGCCCCTCAGTAACAGTTCTGTGGCCCTGAGTAACAATTCTGTGTCCCTGTAACAATTCTGTGGCCCTCAGTAACAATTCTGTGTCCTCTGTAGTAACAATTTCTGTGTCCCTGAGTAACATTTCTGTGGCCCTGAGTAACAATTCTGTGTCCCTGAGTAACAATTCTGTGGCCCTCAGTAACAATTCTGTGTCCCTCGAGTAACAATTCTGTGGCCCTAAGTAACAATTCTCTGGCCTCAGTAAACAATTCTGTGTCCCTGATAACAATTCTGTGGCCCTAAGTAACGGTTCTGTGGCCCTCAGTAACAATTCTGTGTCCCTGAGTAACAATTCTGTGTCTGTCCCTGAGTAACAATTCTGTGGCCCTAAGTAACGGTTCTGTGGCCCTCAGTAACAATTCTGTGTCCCTCAGTAACAATTCTGTGTCTGTGGCCCTAAGTAACGGTTCTGTGGCCCTCAGTAACAATTCTGTGGCCCTCAGTAACAATTCTGTGTCTGTCCCTGAGTAACGTTTCTGTGGCCCTAAGTAACGGTTCTGTGGCCCTCAGTAACAATTCTGTGTCCCTGAGTAACAATTCTGTGTCCCTAGTAACAATTCTGTGGCCCCTAAGTAACAATTCTGTGGCCCTCAGTAACAATTCTGTGTCCCCTGAGTAACAATTCTGTGGCCCTAAGTAACATTTCTGTGGCCCTCAGTAACAATTCTGTCTGTCCCTGAGTAACAATTCTGTGTCTGTCCCTGAGTAACAATTCTGTGGTCTGTCCCTAAGTAACAATTCTGTGGCCCTAGTAAGTAACGTTCTGTGGCCTCAGTAACAATTCTGTCTGTCCCTGAGTAACAATTCTGTGGCCCTAACTAACGTTTCTGTGGCCCTAAGTAACAGTTCTGTGGCCCTCAGTAACAATTCTGTGTCTGTCCCTGAGTAACAATTCTGTGGCCCTAACTAACGTTTCTGTGGCCCTAAGTAACAATTCTGTGGCCCTCAGTAACAATTCTGTCTGTCCCTGA